ACACATACAATACATAGAAATGCAGGCCTAGAGCAACACAATTTGACCAAAGCCTACATCTCTGAAGCTGAAGTCAAATCCAAGGAACCAATAAGTCAAGTAATGCAATTTTGGACCACTCAACGAAATTCATCAACGTCGGGTTCCGAACCATTCAACGGAACCAAAACACCAAGTGAGATTCCGGACCACTCAGCGGAATCCAAACCAGGATATGATTCCGGACCACTTAACGAAATTGCAGAGTATAAGGATTCAGGACCTCTCAACGGAATCCGAGTGGATACAATTTCGGTCCACTCAACGGAATCGTGGAGTACACTAGATATTAGACCACTATACGAAATCCAAGCTAGATACGATTCTGGACCACTCAATGAAATCGCGGATCACAAGGGATTCCGAACCACTTAACCGAATCCAGACAGAGCAGGAACTGAACTACTCAATGAAACCCCAGCAGAAACCCAGTTTTGGATCACTTAACGGAACTAAGCGGAAGTCCAAGGAATATAGCAATGCTCGAAAAACAAGACATGAAACAAATACTCAAAATACAAAAGCTCAACGAAACAAGAAATGGAACAAAACATAATGTACATAATTAGAACGGCTCAACAAAACGAGATACGATATGTGAAACAAGTCTCGAAGCAACAAATCCCATGATGATGGGTTCATGGTCCACTCCTAGCCCTCACATTTCATCACATCAGGCCAATCATGCAAATCAAATATCATTTCAAATATGCACGTCAAATTACTTTTCATCGAATAATTCAACAAACACTTCGAATCACATTTCACAGATATCATCAATACATAAGTCAAATCACGTTTAATAAACATAGATCAATGACTACTCACATTTCAATAGATTCACGTTATAAAATCAAGTGATATCCAACCAAATTATGATCGTCTATCGAAATATACCAAGTACAACTAATCTTCATCACCCCTATAATGCATATGGTCCCCCATCGCGGATATACCAAGCAGAACCATAAGCATAATCTCATAATGCAGGCAATGATCACCATCGTGGATATACCAAGCATGATCAACCCTAAAATACATACGGTCCCCCATCGCGGATATACCAAGCGACCACATCTTAACTCTAGGTAGTGATCACCCATTGCAGATATACCAAGCATGATCACTCCTAGAATGCATATGGTCCCCCATCGCGGATATACCAAGCAAAACCATAAGCATAGTCTAATCATGCAGACGGTGATCACCCATCACGGATATACCAAGCATAATCACCCCTAAAATACGTATGGTCCCCTATCGCAGATATACCAAGCAAAACCATCCATGTACCATTGCTACATGGTGTAGTAAATTCAACACACTACCTACCCATACCTCTCAACCCTTATGAATTACAACGTAGTCATCTACACCATCATCTTCTCATGGCCACCAACTAATATGTCACACAAGCATATAAGTTCTACAGAATACTTCTAATAGGATTCTAGGATCATATTGTCATAACATTTATCATACTTATCATTCACATTATTAAGAAGTTAAATAAACACACACACACACACACACACACATATATATATATATATCACAATATGACGTCTTATACACATAAACCGATGTATATATTATCGAGGATAACTCACTAACCAATATAGGCCCACTAAGCCCTACATAGTCCCTAGTAATACTGATTTTAATATTTAAAATCAATCCGTAATATATTGACCAAAAGTCAAGTCTCTGTCAAAGGTGGGGTCCACAACCCTATACAAGTCAATCTGGAACATCCGCCTATGGATTTTCGATCTGTAACTTTCTAAGGTTCTCATTTATCTTCTAGAACAATATTCTAAAATTTCGGAACGATCCAACGGTTAGATCTCCACCAATTACTAGAATTATGTTGTTATCAACGTTTGGTTTTACAACTTGGAAATCCAATTCGGGAGGATCCGTACGTTGGATTTTTGATCCGTCAATTTCTATTGTCCTCCAATATTACGTACTATTACATATTAAAGTTCTGTGTTGATCCAACGGTTGGATCGTCAATTCATATTATTATCAAGTGACGGCTAACTAAGCGGTCAACTACGAAACTATATTAAAACATTGGGATTTCACTAAATGGATGTCAAAAATGGAATTGGGGCATCAAATTTAGCCTAGGATGGATAGGTCAGGTCTCAGCCCCCCAGTGCCGCCGCCACACGTCGCCCAAAAAATTTCACCTACTTTAAAAATTACCAAATTTTACAAGCAAGTAGATCTCAGTAAGGGGAGAATTTTTCATACCTGGGCCAAAGTCCATTCAGCCGAGAAATGCCTAGAAACCTCCTCAATCCGCTGGAGCCCTAGAATTTGGGTGTTCTCAATTCGACCTCCATACAAGCTTCGACGCCTCTATCATTGCTTGGGCTTTGTTCCTGAGGTTGAGGGGAGCCTATTGGTAGTGATAATCGATGGAGTAGACTTCAAAAATGGTGGATCACCTCCGAGACACCATCGCACCCACCAGTGCATTTCATGTGAATCCAAGGCCAAATTGTATGAATTTTGGGATGGAATTGGTAGAATGAGAGGCGAGATGATGATTGGGAGTGGTAGATCGGTCCAAGTCGTTAGAAATCCGATGGAAACCTGTTGGAAAATATGGAGGAAACGGGTCGGTCACATGGGTCAGAAAAAGGATCCGAATTGGGTGTTTTCTTCCCCTCATCCTTTCCTTCATTTTTCCTGTCGCCTATTCGTCAGTTCCTCTCCCCCTTCTCTCCTAATTGGGCAATCCATTCCCCCCATCTCTCTTTTCTTTCCTCTCTCATCCATCCATCTCTCTCATTTCTCTCCTCCACTCATCATCATAACCATCCACGTGGCTCAATTAGATTACTCCAGAAAATCTGGAGCCTTTTAGAGTGAAGGTTCAATTTACTAAAATGACCCCAACTTTAAATGTTAATATCTCTTTTGTTATAACTCTAAATTACGTTCTGTTTGCGCTCATGCGCTCGTATCGACGAGTACTATCCAAATACGTAAAGAAAAGTAGGAAATTATATGCAAATCAAATACATCCTTGAAAATTCTGTTTAGTCCATTAAGGGTGTTTTCGTCCTTTTACTTATCGAAAATTTTATACGCCGTAAATATATAAACATTGAAACTACGAATACGAATATGAAATAAGGAATACATAATTTTAAATAGTGAAATCCAGGACAGGATTTCACAAATTTACTTCAAAATTTTGGGTATCTTTTCAAGAAGCTATAGGTTCGAAATTACTCTACAACACCGCCTATCATCCTCAAACCAATGGACAATCAGAGAAAACTATTCAGATGCTGGAAGACATGCTAAGATCTTCAGTCCTGCAGTTCAAAGACAAATGGCACAAACGCTTACCTTTGATAAAATTTGCCTACAACAACAGCTTTCACTCCAGCATTGGTGTGTCACCATTTGAGGCGTTGTATGGGAAACCTTGACGTACACCATTATGTTGGTCTGAGGTCGTCGAAAGAGTTTTGGTGGGTCCTGAAATTGTAGATGAGACGACGCAGAGTATCCAAGTGATAAAGGGCAATTTGAAAGCAGCACAAGATCGACAAAAGAGTATAGCAGACAGACATTCGACTAACAGGGTATATGTAATTGGAGATTTGGTGTTCTTAAAACTGTCACCATGGAAGGGTGTTGTGCGTTTTGAGAATAAAGGAAAACTAAGTCTTCATTACATCGGGCCATACCAGATCATTGAGCGTTGGTGAAGTTGCTTACCGACTTGATCTACCTCTGGAATTTTCAAGAGTGCATAATTTGTTCCACGTGTCCATGCTCCGGAAATACGTCTCTGATCTATCACGTGTGATTCCTCCTTAGCCGTTAGAGATTAACCTAGATTTGACTTATGATGAGGTTCCAATGACAATTCTTGATTGGAAAGACAAAGTTCTCAGAAACAAAACCGTTCATATGGTGAAAGTCTTATGGAGAAACCACTATGTGGAGGAAGCTACTTGGGAGACAGATGAGCGTATGCGGGACCTTTATCCACGTTTGTTCTGTAACTATGATCTTGAGTAGTGTTGACATTTAAGGGATGAAATTTTCTTAAGGGGGTAGGTTTTGACGACCTGTCCTTAATTCTATATGTAATTTCCTTTCCGAGTGCGTAAAATGACGATTGTGCAATATTAGCAAAGTGGAACCTGACGTGAATGTAGTTATTTGGCTTTTAATTTATTTTTCCTATAATCGTACTTAAATAGTACTCGTTGTTGCGAATGCGTGAGCATGAGTTAGGCCTAAATCGGATTTGTAACCAAAAAGTTATGTTTAGTTAAAGTGCGTTAACAACGGGTAGAATTGTACACGTGTGTGTTAATTATTTAGTGTTAAAATTACTGTTTTTTATAAGGTGAGCTGGATTGTGTAATTTTATCACTTCTCTCTTTAAATCTTTCCCATGACCTGCTCTCCCTCACCAACCAATCAATCACTCTCCTCATTTCTCTCACCCAATCAGACAGCTTCCCCTTTCTCTTTTGTCCAATCAGAAAATCCTTCTCTCTTCTTCTTCTCTCCTTCACTTCGAGCCTCTCTTTTCCCTCTGCAACACAAACACCATCATCAAACCTCACAGATCGGACCTCAAACCACCACCATCGTACTCTCCTCATCACCACGAGTCCATCCGTACGAACCGATTCTAAAATGATTGAGTTTTGGTGAGGATCCGTAAATCGTGTTCGTTCATCGTACATCTTGTAGTTAGTTTTGTTAAGTACTGTTTGTGTTTAATTTTAAATAAAAATATATAAAATGATTTCTGAACGCACGATGTACGATGAGCGAACACAATTCATAGATCTTCGCAATTTTCACAAAAAGAATTCTGCGGGATCAGGATTCCAACTTCACCCACGCAATTTGAAAGGACTATCTAACGGAAAATCAAAAAATAGATAAAAATAAAAAATAAAAAACAAATAAAAATCAGCGGTCCCAGCAGTTGGGGCAAACTAAGGTCACACAAGTTTGACATAAGGCGAGCTGAAAGCTCTCCGCCAAAACCATGAACGGCGATGGCTCTTTCTCTCCGATCGTCCAGGGTTTGTCAGAAGACCATGACATCCACATCACCGTAAGTTTCCTAAGTCAGATCATCTTCTTCGCCGACTCTTCTAACAATCTCTCTTACATTGTTCACTCTCTGTTTGATTTGTAACAAGATTAGGGTTCAGAAGTTGAAATTGGAAGTAAAGTTGGGTCATTTTTTTCAAATTTGTTTGAACAACATTTGGGATTTAGAATTTGAAATTTGTTTTGTGGTATAGGATTGGGCACTAAAAAATTTTAGAATTTCAGGTCATAAGCAATTGAGCAGTATAATTGGAACTCTAATTTGTGAGTTATTTGGGTATTATGACAATTTTGTTAGTTTGGGGAGTCGAATCGTAAGGCCTAAGATTTTATTGAACTTGTTCATGAATACTGTATGTGCCAAGTAGTGGTAGAGCAAGTAAAATCATACACTTTGGAAGAGGGGGAGAGGAGGGTAACAAGGAATGTGGGTGACATGTAAAGTTCTTAATGATGGTTGAGCAAACGCTATTTGAGCTACTGAAAGAAGCACTGCAGAGTAAAAGCGCTTTATAGAGAAGCACGAGGTGTGTGGTTTAGTGAATTGAGCTCATTGTATCTGCAGATTGAGCTCTGCCTGAACAAACCTGGGGAGGTAATAATAAAAGCTTGTTAGGAAACCACCTGCGATAAGTTAATCAATTAAGTTTTGGAATTAGGTCCAGATAAGTGTTAGTATATTACACACAAGAAACTTCGGCTCAAACTGACGTAATGAAGCTTCAAAACTAAAGGATGTTAATGTTAAAATTGGATATTTGGAGCAGTTAATTGAGCTTGGATGGTGAAGCATTAACATATATACTTAGACAGTACGTTAGAAATGTCTGTACTATCAGTGAAGGATGAAGTAAGAGGATGACCATTAGCACACTCAGGTTTGGCTATTAATGGAAGTGGCAAACATGAATGGCCAACATATCAAAATGATGGTTGATAGAATAACAGCAGCAAAAGTAGAAAATGAATATTTAAGGGAGCTCGATACGACAGACAAGAATCCAAATTTTGCATCTGGTCTGTGTACATGTAGAGAATATAGATGGAGAGTACTGATCAACCACACTGAATATTCTGAATTTTTTGAGAAACTATATAAACAATCATAAAGTGAATAAGATTGTGACCTTGCTGTCACTTTGCAACAACAACATGCGTAATTTTTTTCAAAACAAAAGAACAGCCAAAAAACTATATTTAAGGGTCTATGAAGCATCATAGTTTTGCATATGGTTGGCACGCTATTTATTTTTTATAAGAAACAAGGTGAACAACAGGAACAATGCATGAAAAAGGCAAATAAAGAAACTTGGTTGGCAATCCGTTGCTTCATATTTCTTTGTTATCTTTCATAAATGCTGCTTGTATTTGGAATATCTTAAGATTTATTGGGTTGTTTGCTATTGCAGATAAAAGAAGGTTCTCCAAACAGTGAGCAACTGCTGGAGGACGAAAACAATGACCTTGAAAATGATTGCGAGCAATTGTTTGAGATTGAAGGCAATGAGGCTGAAAGTGAAAGAGATGATACAAGTGATCAATTTTTTGACATTGAAAGCAATGACCATGAGAATGACCAAGGTGATATCAATGAACAATTATTTGAAATTGAAAGCAATAACCATGAAATCAGCAGGGATGATAGAACGTTAATTGATGATCAAAATGGTGGATCTCAAGAAAAGGACTATCCCCCACCCTTTGTGGGTTTGGAGTTTGATTCATACGATGATGCTTACAATTATTATAATTACTATGCCAAGGCACTTGGGTTTGCCATCAGGGTGAAATCTTCATGGACAAAACGTAACAGCAAAGAAAAGCGTGGTGCAGTGCTCTGTTGCAACTGTGAGGGTTTTAAAACAATTAAAGAAGCAAACAGTCGCAAGAAAGAAACAAGAACGGGCTGTCTGGCAATGATAAGGTTGAGGTTAGTGGAATCTAACAGATGGAGGGTGGATGAAGTCAAACTTGAACACAACCATTTATTCGATCCTGAAAGAGCTCAGAACTCCAAGTCGCACAAGAGGATGGATTTTGGGGCTAAAAGAAAGATGGAGTCAACCCCTGATGTTGAAGTGCGTACGATCAAGTTATATCGGACACCTGTTGTGGATGCTGTTGGTTATGGAAGCTCAAACTCCAACGAAGGAGAAACAAACAACCAGGTTGATCGGTTCAAGCGATTGAAACTCAAAAAAGGAGATGCTAGAGCTATGTACAATTATTTTTGTCGGGCTCAGCTAACCGATCCGAATTTTTTCTATGTGATTGATCTGAATGATGAAGGACATATGAGGAATGTGTTTTGGATTGACTCCAGGTCTAGGGCTGCATACAGTTATTTCAATGACGTGGTTTCATTTGATACTACATGTCTGTCAAACAATTATGAGATTCCACTTGCTGCATTTGTTGGAGTAAATCACCATGGGCAAACTATTTTGCTTGGTTGTTGTTTGCTAGCTGATGAGACACCAGAAACATATACATGGTTATTTAGGGCATGGCTTACATGTATGTCTGGCCGCCCTCCACAAACGATCATCACAAGCCAGTGTAAGGCCCTGCAAAGTGCTATAGCCGAGGTTTTTCCTAGGGCTCATCATCGTCTTTGTTCTTCACATGTTGTGCAAAGTATTCTTGAGAATATGGGAGCTATACAAGAACATGAGGCATTTCAGCTGATTTTGAGTACGACTGTATATGACTCTGTAAAAGTTGATGAGTTTGAATTGGCTTGGGAAGATATGGTTAAGAGATTCAGGATTAAGGATCGTGAGTTTATTCGAAGTCTGTTTGAAGATCGAGAGCGATGGGTTCCAGCTTACTCAAAAGACACATTTTTTGCGGTGATGCCCAACATTCAAAACGGTGAGTCGACGAACCCATTTTTCCATAGTTATATCCATCCGCAAACTTCTTTGGAAGAGTTCCTTAGTGTCTATGATGTAATTTTAGAAAAGAAGCGTCAGGAAGAAGCTCATAATGATAATGAGTCCAGAGAATTGAGTTCAATGTTACGAACAAGATACTATTATGAGGTGCAGCTCTCTAAGTTTTACACAAAAGATGTATTCAGAAAGTTTCAAGATGAGGTTGTGATGATGTCTTCTTGTTTTAGTATAACTCAAGTTCACACAAATGGACCAATTGTAACCTACATGATCAAAGAACGTGAAGGGGAGGAAATTCTGAGGGGTGTTAGGAACTTTGAAGTCATGTATGACAAAGCGGGAGCAGAAATTCGTTGTATGTGCAGCTGCTTTAATTTAAATGGCTACCTGTGCCGGCATGCCTTGTGTATCCTCAACTATAATGGTGTGGAAGAAATACCGTTTCAGTATATCTTGTCGCGATGGAGGAAAGACTTTAAGCGGTTGTATGTTCCAAATCTTGGGAGTAATAATGTTGATATCACGAACCCAGTTCAGTGGTTTGATCATTTGTATAGAAGAGCAATGCAAGTTGTTCAGGAAGGGATGATTTCTCAGGATCATTATATGGTGTCTTGGCAGGCATTCAAAGAGACTCTGAACAAGGTCCGTCTTGTAGCAGACAAGCATGTACAGTAAAAAAATGTGAATATAGTCTTCCGTCATTCTCTTTAGTCCTGGAGAGATGCTATGTAGGAAAGACCAGAGACAAAAAGGCTGGCGATCTGCTGCATGAATTGAAGGGTATAACCAAGGAAGACAACAGAATGTACGGAATTCAAAAGGAAGGATCTCCATAGGTAATTGTGTGCTTTCTCTCCTAGCATTATTATTTGTATGCTTTGAAAAAATTCAAGCTAGTTGTTGACGATCTAGTGGTAACCAGTAAGTGGATGCCATCACTCTGCTTGGAGCCTTTACAGAGTTACTTGTACTGATTATACTAGTGAGTAGTGACTAGTGACCCGCCTAAGTTTGTTGTAGAAGTTTTTGGGATCAATAATTTGGCCATCCAAACATGCAAATTAAATATACCTTTTCTTGGATAATCACTTGTCTCGCTTTTCCTTTTCATTCCCTTTTTGTTTTGAAGCCGTGTTTGTATTACCATTGACTTTATGGCATGTGGGTTCGTTTAATGCTCTGCAAATAATTTTTCGGCTACATTGCTAACCCTGTGTTATAGACTGCAGGTGATTTTGGCAAACGTGCTGGAAGATATGGAAGAAGTCGTTTAACAGTATAGAAGGTGATATACCATAAACACAAAGTGCAGAATCTTTGAATGGATCAAACCATAATCCTACCCTTCTTGCCGATCCTCCGTCGCGCTTAGGGTAACCCCGTTTGACGTTTCTGTAGGTAGTTTGAGCTGACGTTTCTTCGTCTCTGCACTCTTCTTAGCTTCTTCCGTTGTAATTTGAAGATTGTGCAACTACTCTTTTGAACCCTTGTATATTGAAGATTGAGGATTGTTGTTGGATCGTTGCCTTTGCTGCTTCTCTTGTTCTCCATCTATTTATTTTTATTTTGAAAAAAATAATGATCCAAAAAAGTACCAATGAAAATAGTTCTTATAAAAAAAGGGTTCGCATTTGCTAAAAAGGTCTATTGGTTGGGAAAGTGAATTATTTGCTTATAAGCACCAAATTACTCTTTTTACTTTTTTTTCTTTTTCTTCGGATTACAAGCTATATTCTAAACTAATTTATTATGCTAAAAGGTGGAGGAGGGTTGAACAGAAAAAGCCCAACCAAACTTTTAATGTATTTCTTGCGTACCATGGATGTCCCGTAGGTTTTGCTTGCTTAAAATATAAAGAAAAAAGCTTCTTTTTTTTTTTTTACCTAATTGCTTTGAAGCCTTGATTATTATTATTTTTTTTTGGCAGAAATTGATGTCATGAAAAAAACAAAAAACCTTATTGGTGGTTAAGACTTTCCTTTTCAAATTTATTGCATCTCAAGTTTAAACAATATATTTCATTTTAATGTAAAATATTGCTTGTAATTAGAAGAAGAAGAAGAAAAAAAAAAAAAAAAAAAAAAAAAGTAAAAAAAGAGGAATTTTTATTAACGAGGCCCTGCTATGACGTGTCGAAGACTAAAATATACATCTCCACTTGTATTTCAGACTTGAGATGAAGGGGAGACCCAAGTGTAAGAAAACGAAATGCAGGGGAAACCGAACCCCAGAAACAAAATTCTCCTTCGCTTCGACCAGTGAAAAAAGAAGCAGAGTAATTCAGCGCTCTTGTTACAGGCGGACCGGCGAAACCGTTGGCTCGCGGGTTTGTGGATCTTCTCTTTCCGGTCCGAACCCGTAAGTACCCTCGACCAATTGCTCAGGATTTTGTTGTCAGTTGCTCGTATTAATTAATTTGAATTTATTGTCGCAGCTTTCTTAGGGTTTGGATTTTGACTCAAAATCTTCAAGGTTTTGTGAGGAATTTTAGGAGTTGTATGCTTGCAATTTTCTGTTTGGTTCAGTAGAAATTGAGATAAAAAGTTTGAAAATTTTGAAGTTTAAGAGGACAAAATGGTTGTTTAGAGCTGTTCTGAGTGTAGGATTGAGTATTGAACTCAGACTTAATTATGTATTTGGATTGAGTATTTGATTAAGTTGAAAATTTTGTTCATATCTTCCATTGTTTTTCTTTCCTGGGTTTTGTGTGATGCGAATGGGGCTTTCGCGTAATATGAAGACAAAGTTTAAATTTTTCAGGTAGAAGTTGATTGTTTTAAGTCCCCTTTGGGTATAGAGAATGATATAGTTCGTTTCCTGACAATTGAATGGAAAAATTATGGTAAAGTTTCAAACTTTGTTTGACAGTTTCTTTTCGGAAGCAATTTTGTGATAACATGACTTGTGACGGTTAAAGTGAGTACGTTTTTTTTTGCTCTAGTGATGGTTTGATCATTACTTGTGTTTGGATTGTTGGCTGGATGGTGTTTTATGTTCGCCGGATATCAATTTTACAGAATTATTTTTTTTATAAAATTAAAGATTATTTTACTCTTTTTGTGAAAGTTGGTCTATTATTCTAAATTTCTTGGTAGATGGTATATGGGATTTTTGTAAGGGTTCACTTGTCTTTCAGATGGAAGTAGCCTCTCTTGACAGCGAGCAAGTACCGGATGGTGAGTGCAATGAGATCGTAACTGATGGAGATGGTGTTTTGACCGAATCAGATGTTCAAAATGGTGTCACTGAAGGAAGAAAGGAATTTGTTGCACCTGCAGTGGGAATGGAGTTTGAGTCTTATGATGATGCTTATAATTATTACAACTGCTATGCTAAGGAAGTGGGATTTCGCGTTAGAGTGAAGAATTCGTGGTTTAAGAGGAACAGCAGAGAGAAGTATGGTGCCGTGCTTTGTTGCAGCAGCCAGGGTTTCAAAAGAATTAAAGATGTGAACCGTTTGAGAAAGGAAACAAGAACTGGATGCCCTGCAATGATAAGGATGAGATTAGTGGACTCCAAAAGGTGGAGGATACTAGAAGTTACACTTGAGCATAACCACTTGTTAGGTGCTAAAATGTACAAATCAATTAACAAGATGGGAAGCGGAACTAAAAGGAAGTCACAGTCAAGTTCAGATGCAGAAAAACGAACAATTAAGTTGTACCGAGCACTTGTAATAGATTCAGGGGGCAATGGGACCTCAAATTCGAATATAGCAGATGTCAGGACTTTTTCTGATCATCCGGATCAGTTGAACCTTAGAAAAGGTGATACACAAGCAATCTATAATTACCTTTGCCGAATGCAGTTGACCAATCCTAACTTCTTTTACTTGATGGATTTTAATGATGACGGGCTGCTAAGGAATGTGTTCTGGATTGACGCTAGGTGCAGGGCAGCATGTGGTTATTTTGGTGATGTGATATACTTTGACAACACATATTTGTCAAACAAGTATGACATCCCACTTGTGGCGTTTGTAGGGATCAATCACCATGGCCAGGCAGTATTGCTTGGTTGTGCTCTACTTGCTGGGGAGACGACGGAATCTTATACTTGGTTGTTCAAAGCTTGGCTTACATGTGTATCAGGACATTCTCCACAAACAATTATTACTGACAGGTGCAAGGCTTTGCAGAGTGCAATTGCAGAGGCATTTCCAAGATGTCATCATCGTTTTGGTTTATCACACATCATGAAGAAGGTTCCAGAAAAACTGGGAGGGTTGCGCAACTATGATGCCATCAGGAAGGCATTGACTAAAGCAGTTTATGAAACTCTGAAGGTGATCGAATTCGAAGCAGCCTGGGGGTTCATGATTCAGCGTTTTGGAGTCGGTGATCATGAGTGGCTTCGATCTTTATATGAAGAACGGTTTTGGTGGGCTCCGGTTTATTTGAAAGAGACGTTTTTTGCTGGAATGGCGGCTGCACGTCCAGGTGAAGCCTTAAGTCCATTTTTTGACAGATATGTACACAAACAAACTCCACTGAAAGAATTTCTTGATAAGTATGAACTGGCTCTCCAAAAGAAGCATAAGGACGAAGCTCTTGCAGATATCGAGTCAAGAAGCACGAGTCCCACATTGAAAACAAGATGTTCCTTTGAGTTACAGCTTTCAAAAGTTTACACTAGAGAAATATTCGAGAAGTTCCAATTTGAAGTGGAGGAGATGTATTCTTGTCTTAGCACCACACAGTTACATGTTGATGGGCCAATCATAATATTCTTGGTCAAGGAGCGTGTTGTCGTTGAGGGAAGTAGGCGAGAGATAAGAGATTATGAAGTCCTGTACAACAGAACAGCCGGTGAGGTTCGTTGCATTTGCAGCTGCTTTAACTTTTACGGGTATTTATGTCGGCATGCATTGTGTGTGCTTAATTATAACGGGGTAGAGGAGATCCCTTCGAAGTACATTTTGCCGCGATGGAAGAAGGATTACAAGCGTTTATATATTCCAGATCAAGGGTCCAGTAATGCTGACGCCACTGATCGCGTGCAATGGTTCAATCAGTTGTATAGAAGTGCCTTGCACATTGTAGAGGAAGGTGTGATTTCTCTTGACCATTACAAAGTAGCATTGCAAGCATTCGAAGAGTCGTTGGATCGGGTTCATGTTGTAGAAGACAAGCATGAATAAATTACCTGTAATGTTAAAGGTTCGAATTTTATGGAAGTAGAAGGGGTAAATGTAGGGTTATTTTCCTCCTCTGTTCCTTAACCTGTTTATGCAGTTGTAGATTCACCCTTGTTTAGGATTGTACAGTGATTGTCAAAGCGATTTTGCACATATTCTAAGCTTGCATTTTCAGGTCCTACTGAAAACATTTTACAAAGGTGAAAAAGGGAAAAGAGAGAGAACCCCTCATATGAAATTGCTTTTAATTCTTCTATGCCTATTTGGAAGTTCTTTTAGATAAAAATACAAACGTCTTCGGATTACCAAGAGCATTTTTTACAACGTTTAACATGAAAAATTAGAGCTCGTTTGGGAATGCTTGTAAAATTATTGGAAGTGCTTTTAGAGAAAATGTTTATGGGTTTAAAAATCACTTAAATGCTTTCTCGAAGAAGCATTAGTTATGTGTTTTTTTGTTGAAAACACTTTAAGTGTTTTTTCAGAATTCACTTGTATTTTTACTAAATATTAGTTTTAAAAATATTTTCATAAAAAATCCTTTCAGTAATTTTAAAAGCAATTCCAATGAGCCTTTAGTCGGATTAAAAGAAGCTGCCAATCGAGTCGCCACAAAGACATTAGCCACAAACTTTGACAAAACTAACTGCGGACTGAAGATTAAAGATAGTTTAGTGTCACAAATGATGGATACTTGACAAAACTAGCAAAGTCTTGGCATGGTGCCTAATATTTCAAAGCCCTCTTGCTGCTCATATTCTCCCTGAGTTTTCACCCTTCTTGCTCTCACATATAGATGTATGATAATTGATGGTATGTTTACGAATGAGCTCTCCACACTATTTTATAGCAAATGATGTGAAGTACAAACAAAATAGCTTCGTTAGTAATTTGTTGTAGGTGAGTTATCCACCACTGTCTTAGTAGTTTGTTGTAAGCTAATCATCCACCACTTTGATAGTGATTTATTGCAAGTGAATTGTTGATGACTTTGTCATCCACCGCTTAATTTTTCTTCTCTTTTCAATGTGTGGGCATCAGATTGTTACAACAAATTACTACTTTTATCCACTAATATTTTGGGAACATTGGTGGTGCAATGAAAGTGCTTTTGGCTGCGTTGTTAGAAAATTAACAAATCATTTTTGAGGACTCAGAGAGAAGCGAAAAGAAATATGGATGTCTAAGCCGGATGGCAGCCCAACGAAAGAGGCCCAAACCTTGCACAAAAGGCAAAACCAACGAAATCCCCACAAAGGAAAAAACTCGGCTCGCTGAGACAAAGAGATCGCCTTCTCTCTCGGCCAGGGGAGTTTCCACCGTTACATTTTCCTTTCTTTTCCATTTTTGCAGGTACAAAAACCATCACAGCTGAGGACGATGAAGATTTTAAGAAGCTGAGCAAGTTCTCGTGGGAGGTGGGCGAGGTGGGCACTGAATCCAGGTCCGTGTTATGTAGGCTCAGCTGGGTTTGTAGAGTTTTTTTTTTTTTCTTCACCTTTTAGTTAAGTTAAATTTATGTTTGCCAAATATACTAAAGATTTGAACTTTGTTTGGTTTCTGAGAAAATGAAGGAAAATCGAGAAATGGGTTGTTGCCCTTTTCGTTTTTAAACTTTGAAGTGAAAAGAAAATATGGGTTGCTGAAAAATACCCAGCTGAAGCTGAATTGGTGATTCTATATAATCTAAGAGTCAATGGAGGTAGCTGATTGCATTAGGAAATATTTTGAGAGATTATTCTGCAAGAGTTGGGAAGTGGAGGGCCATGAATTTTGTAGGTTAGGATTAATAGAAATTATTTATGCTTTTTTGTTAGGGTTCCTTATCAGTTGGTGTCTTGGTTTCGTATCGGTTTGAAGATGGATGAAGTTTCACTCAACACTGAGCCTGCGGGCCAGGATGATGCTGATGAATTTGAGATTGAAGGAGACTGCGCAATGACCGATTTTATCAGTCAAACCGGCATTATTCAAGGAGAGAACCCTCTCCCACCGGTTGTTGGAATGGAATTTGATTCGTATGAGGATGTATATTACTTCTATAATTGCTATGCCAAGCAACAGGGATTCGGGGTTAGAGTCAGCAATACATGGTACAGAAAAAGCAAGGAAAGATACCGAGGAAAGCTTAGCTGCAGTAGTGCAGGTTTCAAAAAGAAGAGTGAAGCTAATCGCCCGAGGCCAGAAACTAGGACCGGTTGTCCAGCAATGATAAAGTTTAGGTTAATGGACTCCAACAGGTGGAGAGTTATTGAAATTGAGCTTGAGCACAACCACTTGATCAGTCCAGCCAGTGGAAAGTTTTATAAATCCCACAAGGCCATAGGTGTTGGAACTAAAAGAGCGCTGCAGATGGATACTTCTGAAGACGTACAAAAGATCAGGTTGTTTCGAACAGTGATCGTTGATTCTGAGGGTAATGGAAGCATGGATGGTGATGAAGGAGAATCTGGGAATAGAGTTGACTACTCCAGTCAGTTAAAGCTAAAAGAAGGAGATGCCCAAGCCGTTCAGAATCACTTTTCTCGGTTGCAATTAATGGATCCAAACTTCTTTTATGTGGTGGATCTGAATGAGAAGGGATGCTTGAGAAATTTGTTTTGGGCTGACGCGAGGACTAGGGTTGCTTACAGTTATTTTAATGATGTGGTTTCCATTGACACTAAATGCGTGGAAAATAAATTTGAAGTCCCGCTGGTATCATTTATTGGAGTAAATCATCATGGCCAATCGGTGCTGTTAGGTTGCGGTTTAATTGCAAGTGAGACAGTTGAATCCTTTACGTGGTTGTTTAGAGCTTGGCTTACATGCATAATGGGACGCCCTCCGCAAGCCATCATTACTAGTCAGTGCAGAACATTGCAAACTGCCATTTCTGATGTTTTCCCTAGAGCTTCTCATTGCCTTTGCTTATCACATATAATGCAAAAGGTTCCAGAAATTTTCGGAGGACTGTTTGAGTATGAATCAATTAAAGAATCTTTGAGTAGAGCTGTTTACCACTCTCTGAGGGTGGAAGAATTTGAGGCAGCTTGGGAGGATATGGTCCAGCACCACGGAATAAGAGATCATAACTGGCTTCAAGCAGTTATATGAAGATCGGAAGTGGTGGGTTCCAGTATATTTGAAGGATATATTTCTGGCGGGGATGTTCCCAGTCCAACCAAGTGAGGTTGTCCCTTCATTCTTTGAGAATTTCTGGATAGAGATACTCCTTTGAAGGAGTTTTTGGATAAGTATGATCAAGCTCTGCAAACGCATCATCACCTGGAAGCCTTGGCAGATTTGGATTCAAGAAACTCGAGCTATACGTTGGAATCAAGATGCTATTTTGAGCTGCAACTCTCAAAATTGTACACTAACGACATTCTAAGGAAGTTTGAAAAGGAGGTAGAAGGAATGTACTCTTGTTTTAGCACTAGTCAACTAAATGCTGACGGGCCAGTCATAACATACGTAGTGAAGGAACAAACTGAAGTGATGGAAATCGGAGGGAGACGAGGGACTATGAAGTTTTGTATAATCCATCTGAGATGGAGATCCTTTGTTTCTGTGGCATGTTCAACTTGCGAGGATACTTGTGCAGGCACGCACTGTCAGTCCTAAACCAAAACGGAGTGGAGGAAATCCCGGCTCAATATGTTCTTTCACGATGGAGAAAGGACATCAAGCGGAATTACATTTTTGACCATAGCTGCAGCGGCATTGATATTAATAACCCAGTTCACAGGTATGATCATTTGTACAAATGCATAGTGCAAGTCGTGGAAGAAGGGAGGAAATCAGAAGGCCGTTACAAGGTCGCATTAGGGGCGTTGGATGAGATGTTGAAAAAGCTTTGTCTTACAGAGGATCCTGCCCTCTGAGAATCTGAGGTGATGAAATTATGTAGAAATTGAATGGTGTAACACAAAATTAGGGCAGTCTCTTGTATAGCTGGAATTTTGTGTACAATATATATATATATATATATATATAAGCAATCTCTCTGTCATTTTCTATTGATTTTTCTTCATGAAATTCATCGTCTACTTACCCGGTGTTTGGGTGCGGAAAGAAAAACTCGTAAAAATCAGAATTTAAGCTTGGAAGTCCTTTTCCCTTGTTTGGCAACAGCCCTGGAAATCAGCAAATGACAGAATTTCGGAACTGAATTTCTGAGAAAATAATCACCATTCTCAAAACCCTAAGACAGATTACTTTCAAATTTTCCTTGTTAGGCAATTTAAGACATTTATCCATTCCGAAGCACAGAAATATGGACACGAGCAATAATCTTGCAATACTCTTGGCAAGAAACTGAGCCACCACCACTCTTATCCTACGCTCACAGACACAATGTACCTGCAATTCTGCAAAATCGGATCTTTATTTTGCCAAACATGTTGAAAGCACAAGACGTTAGATAAATCTTCAAACTTCAACGAAATTTCTTTCCATTTCATCATTTCACGATTCATAAGCAGCACGTAGAGGGATGTGCATGCATACAGAGAAACTGATTCAGACAAGGATAGCAAGTAGAGCCACTGAAACGAAAATCACAAATTGCTTTCTCAAAGATAATACCAAACTGTCTATTTAAACCCGAGCAGTAAAACTCAACCATGAATGGCAAACCTGCATAACTCCTTTAACCCGATCCTTGGTCAAGTACAGGAAGTCTGCAGTGTAGACTGATGGACTTATCGATTTGATGAGAACCAGGAATGAAAAATTGGAAGATCACTGTCAAGCAAGCACCTTGTGCGGCAATCCCATAGAAAGCGCAGTCCGGTTTAGCCAAGTGGCACTGAAGGCTCTTACCAAAATGCTTCACACTCACTTGCACAGATTGAGCATCACCCCTTAAAATAGCCCTTGCCGACCGAGTCTGAGCGGTCAGATTTCGATCTTCAGATGGAGCATCAGCTTGCTCACCTATGACCAGCAGCTTCTGAAACTCTGCACCAAGTGTGATGAGTGTTGTTGAAATCTGAATGTGTAAATCCCCATACTTGCTTATGGTAACATTGAGCAAATCACCAATATGCCTCATCCGATCCACAAAATTTTGCAACTGATTCAGATCGGGAACCTGAACCAGAGTCTGAGGCAAGTCTTGAGCTGCATCAAGAGCAGTTTGAAGTTCCAGAACCTGAGCTCTGGACAAAGGTTTTGAGATTGGTACGTCCTGAATTACCGCAGATTTATAACCCTTGGTCTCGAAAGTAAGGAAAGGCAATGGTTGGGTAGAATTTGGAGGTAGTTTTTTAACCAATCTAATCTGGAGGCGGTTGGCTGTCGGACCATTTCCAAACTCAGTACATATGCTGACACTGCTACGAAGAGCACGGTGGAGAAGAGAGATGTCTACTGTAAAGGCAATGCGGTCCTCATTCTGGCTGGAGATGCGATAGTCATCAAAAAGAGCTTCTTTGCGAAACTGGGCAATGGATTGAATTCCATCACCATTAAGAAGGTTGTGGAGGAAGATAGCATGGTCTCTGTTGAGGTAGAGATGGCATATCTTTCCCATCTTGTCTAGGGCTGGTAGGAACCTCTTTTCCAAAAGATTTACACCATTCTCTGTAAGAAATGCCTTGAACTTCATCTCTTGGTGCGTGTCTGTTCTCGTCTCACTTCTCAGGAAAGATGGCTGAAGGCAAGCCAAGAAGGGGTTAGTACATGCATTCAATACAACAAAATGTGTTTAAATTGCAATCTTAAGATAGTTCTTAAAAATATCTATTCAGACATCGTAGCAATACTTCCTGTAGACCTGTCTTATCAATGAAACTGTTAATATGTTTCACAATTTTGGATATTGCCTGGATTTATTATCTCAGAAACTACACAGAGGAGCCCAGCAAGTAGCAACAAACTGCACAATTTCGGAAGTCTTACTGTGATATCATAGTTTGGTCAATTTAACCTCACAGATTATGAACTTCTCCCAACTAATTGAGAGTCTTTTAACACGGTACACCATTCACGGTCAGTATCAGTATCAATATACATTAAGGGCCTAGTTACAAAAATTGTCCTAGCACAAAGAAACCAATTTGCTTTCGACTAATCAGGCAGTTACGGTAGAATAAATTTCTACAGAGTCCGATAAGCGCTCTTCTGCATTCTATCTGCGCCTTTTACTCCCCTTTCAATCTATCTATCGTGCATCACACTCCAACAATATTATCTCCATTTTCTGAATTTACCACTATTTCTCTTCTCTTCCATGTTTAAGGGTGTCTCCATAAATTAGCAGTAAGCACAAAATGCCCTAAAAATACATATAGCTATAATCTTATACGAAAAACAATAATAAAATCAAATAATCGTCACAAAACCAACCGGAAGCAAAATTTCATTTTCTAAGTGACTCTTAATTTGAAATTCGACTATATATCATTACAAACAAAATTATATTGAATTACTGACTGACATGGATTTCTCTGAGCTAAGAAGCTAATACACAGATAAAGCTTCATTTATTTAGCTTCTGTTTGGGTGCTAAGAAAATTAAGCAGTTTTCGATTCTACTATTTAGTTTCAAGGGCTAGAAATTTAAAGAGAAATCTATTGTTACATTTCCATACATTTTCTAGGGAAACAAACACATCCGGATTTAGGGTTTTCGAATCTAACCTTTTGGAACTTGGGATCCGTCAAAAGATGGGAGGTTTCGCAGTCACCGCTGCCGCTGGACTCCGAGAGACTGGAGGGACTGGACTGGCCTGGCGCCAAAGCTTCTGGTAATTTATATAGGGCTTTGAATTTTACAAAAAATTACGCGTTCTAAAGGCTCCCTTCGTCTAGCGACAAGTCGTTTTGGATATTGACGAGTAAAATGTCGTTAATTTTAAATATGATTACAAATTAGATGGAAACGACAGAGAGGAACAATCTTCTCAAAGCAGCTCTAAGAAAGGTCGGAATAGTTTAAAGGCACTTACCAAGTGCTTGATAAGGTTAGAGAAGTTAACTTTAAGAGGAGAAAATTAAAAACTTTCAAAATTTTTAATACGTGTAGCATACTGTGTCAGACTCTAATAACAATATAACATGAGGTCATCTGTCATTTTTGTATTAGAAAACTGCACAAAATGACGTGTGTATTCATAGTTTTTCTATGATGAATGTATTTGTGTTTTTTTTCCATTCTATGGTTGTAGTATCGGCTTTTCAAATATTAATAATAATACAAGTATTGATATTTACAGAATCTTTACTTGCCGTGCTGAATATTATATCTTTAATACAGGTGAGACTTATAGGTTCTGTACATGCAAATTCTCTCTCTGAGACTTATAGGATTTATCAATTAAGAAAGCAAGTTAATCATCAAACATTTGACCTATTCTAATCCTAACTGATTCTCCCGCCTCCTTGGCCGCGTCGGCTAAACTGGCCAAAGGTCCTTTTATCAAACCGTCACCAATAATCTTTACACGAACACGAACCGTGTCTAAAATGGTGGAACCGAGTTCCATCCCTAACAATCACTTCTCTATCATAAACTCTGGAGACCAACTTTGCCATGCTGTGACAATCCACACAGATTCTAAGGTTCTTCATGATTCTAATTGTCGCCCCATCTCCCAAACTAATCAGCCCAAATGCCATTGCTAATTTCTCACTATGCCTGCAAACTGCACTCTCTTTATCCTCTCCCCTACATCAAGGAAAACCTCCGATGTATCCAGCGAATACCCGACAACCTTCAAGTCTTCAATCGTCTTATCCAACTTGGAATAGATTTTTTCGGATTGAGGGTGTGACCGGTCCCCGGCAACAAACTCATGAACATTACCATTCACCTCTATCGAGCTGCAACCAGGCGTCTTATTGATTCCCCTGTCCATCATCAGTTGTCTTACGTTGCGCAAATTGTCCCATTTACTGCAAGCTGCATATATATTGCACAAGAGAACATAAACAGAACTGTTATCGGGCTCCAACTCGAGCATATGTTTAGCTGCAATTTCAGCCAGTTCTACATCTCTGTGCATTCTACAAGCGCCAAGCAGAGCTCCCCATACAGCTGCATTTGGTTTCATTGGCATGTTCTGTATAACCTCAAAAGCTTCGTTTAGATTCCCTGATCGGCCAAGAAGATCCACCATGCACCCGTAATGTGAAACTTCAGGCTGGATTCCATGTTGGGTGGTCATACTATCGAAAAAGTTCCTTCCTTCAGCTACCATTCCAGAGTGATTACACGCAGAAAGAACACCGATGAAAGTTATCCTGTCGGGAGTTATCGAAGATTCTAGCATTCGAGAGAACACGTCAAGAGCTTCCTTACCATGTCCGTTAACAGCAAGGCCAACAATCACAGCCGTCCATGTAAATTTGTCCCTTTGAAGCATTGCATTAAAGACCCTCAAAGCTTTCTCAACATTTCCACACTTGAAATACATGTCTATTAAAGCATTTCGAACGAATACATCATTCTTGATCTTGTTCTTGTCAATGTAAGTTTTTATCCACTCTCCGAGTTCAAGTGCTCCTAGATGTGCACAGGCTGTTAGAATGCTTACCATAGTGTACTCATCTGGCCTTACATTCGAAGTCTGCATCTGGCGGAAAAGTTCCAGTGCCTCTTTGAACCGGTTCACCCTGAGGTACCCATCCATTATTGCAGTCCATGAAATGTAGTCTCTTTCAGGCATCTCATCGAAGTAGCTCCGAGCTAGATCAACTTGTCCAGAACTGGCAAACCCCTTAACAATGGTAGTCCAAGAAATTACATCCTTTGTTTTCATCCTTTCGAAAATCTCAAGTGCAACGTGCATTTCCCCACAAGCTACATACATATCAACCAAAGCATTTCCCAACACCAAATCAGGTTTGATCAGGCAATCCTTGACGTATTTATGAACCTGCTTCCCGGCATCTAAATTCTTCAATTTGGAGCACGCTGATATCACCGAGACAAGTGTGACTGAAGTGGGCAACACTCCTGTTTTCTCCATGTCACTAAAAAGCTTCAAGGATTCATCAAACTTCTTGATTCGATTGTACCCAGAAATCATTACATTCCAAGTTGCAACATCCTTCTCATGAATCATATCAAAAACGCCACATGCCATATCAATTAGGCCACAAACAGAATACATATGCACCAATGCATTTTGAACAAAAACATTAGTATCAAGTCCATACTTCAACACATGAGCGTGCAACTCTTTGCCACATTCCAGCGCAATTTCACGTGTGAATCCCTTCAACAAGAACGGAAACGTGTAACAGTCGGGCTTGACACTCATCCTCTGCATTGCTAAATACAAAGAGACCCCGTCTTGAGGGCATCGTATCCGACTATAGCCTCTGATCATGGTGTTCCAAAGAAACGCACCTGGTTCAGAAATTGTGTCGAACACCTGACGGGCATAGTTCACATCACCAAATTCATCAGTACAACAAAACACGATGATTCTGTTACGCACGATCGGGTGCGATGTGAGGCCTGTTTTCACTGCTTGGGCATGTATTTGCTTGATGTAGTCCATGGAATTGCAGTTTTCAAAGAGAGCAATTGGTGCTGGGTTTTCGAAAGACTGAAGCTGGGTATACGTTGACAAGTGGGTTGGAGTTGCAGATGCCATAGCGATCCTTTTCATGAAGTTCAAAGAGTCATAGACTGACAAGCTTAGAGATGAGAAGATCCAGTGAGTTCTGGAAGCAAGAAAGAACATCATACAAAGAGAAAAAGCATTCCTCTCTACCGCCGGCAGCGTGTTCGCACCAGCACTGACAGGTTATGGAAAATTGGATGGCTTCAACAAATTTATATGCTTGTATTCGAATTATCAGTCAGACCCAGAAATTCTACAATACAACGGAGGATATATCCCTCGACTAAGTAATGAGAGAGATACTAACAGCGGAATATACCGATGATTACAACAATTCATCATAAAAAGTAGACAGAATCAACTTTCTAAGAAGATAGGAAAAATGGAGAAAAAATTATACACTGGGGCAATTTATCCTGCGGCTAAATTACTAACCAATAATGTAAACAGTTGCTATACTACAACCATAAAAGTTGGAACCGTAAGCATTCTATGACTGTCGGAAAAGCAAAATTTAACTAGCACCGCTGTTTACCATCTAAAAACCACCGAAAAGGGCCCATCAATGATCTACCTAAAGGAAGAAAACAAATGAAACCTATGGCACTAGAATTCCATTTTGACAGCAGCATTAGACTCTTGAAGTGCTGGTGGTTGTGGTAACGGTCCATACTGAATCCAATCCTTGGCGCAGATAAGGGCTTCAAGAGTCGCCGTACCCAATGAAGTCCGGTAACTGTCCATTCTTTTTATTTCGGTGTCAAACACAGCGTCGGGGGCAACAGTAGACACGGGTATTGACAAGATATCGGAAGCCATCCTGGAGAGAGTTGGGTACTTGTGTCTGTTAAGTCTCCACCAACCCAGAACATCAAAGTCTTCCACCCCATCAACCAATAGAAATTCTTCCTCTTCCAGATACTGATCTAGTTCTGACTTCATTTGCTGGCCACCTGTGATATCAGGCATAAAGAAATCAAAATCTTGCAGCCCATCTGCAGAAGAGAGTAGAATCTCCTGAGATGGTATTTCCGGTAGCTCTGTTTTCATGATGCCGTCGTTCCCTTCTTCTATTGGTATTTCTGGTAGAGTAAGCATTTGCATCATGTATTCAAGGAAGAGATCATGAATACCACCGTCAACAATCCTAATCCATGTTTCGGCATTCTCACCATATATTTCAGAGAAGGTTGACTCTACATGTTTCATTTTGAACCTCGGATCCATAATAACAGCAATAGCTAAAACAAGGCAGCAGTTTTCCCAATACTTGTCAAACTTTTCATACAGAGGTCTGATCAAGTAGCTGACAAAGGGATCATCACTCATGGCCGCATGCATCAATGCCTTCTGAATTTCTGATACTTTTGGAAAGAATGCATTTGCAGAAGGGTATGTTGGGGCAGTTAAAATGTTGGCTGCATCGAAAAAATACATTAAGTATGTACATAGAGTTTCTACCTGCTTCCATTCTTCCAACGATATGTTTATGTTATAATCAGGATCATATGTATCCAAGCAAGCAAATACTTCCCTCAATTCACAAGCCGCAACCAGCATATGATATGTTGTGTCCCACTTAGTTAGGTTGTCAACTGAAATGTTCTTCGAGCTAGGAACTTGAAGTTGTTGCTTCAGCTGAACAAACTTTTCTTCACGGGATTCTGAAGTTTTCACATACTTGACGCTTTCACGAACTTTCATGATTGTCCCGCTCAATGCCCTCAGTGCATCTTGTGCAAGACGACTCAGAACACGAGCATAGCAATTTCGTATCAGTAATTGACTGCTGAGCATGTGTGGGTTCTTGACTGAAAGAAGCCCTTTAAGATTTCCAATTATGGTTTCATTCGATAGGGATTGATCAAGTGTGATGGTAAACAACCGACCTTCCAGATGCCAATCGGACAAGCAGGTCAAAATAGCTTGACTAAAAGTGTCACCTGAATCAGTAGACGGTACCATTACAACATTAAGGATTTGACGATATGAATTCCAGTCACCATCAATGAAGTGTCCTCTCAAGAAAACATAGCCCAGGTTCTGATTTGAAGTCCACAAGTCCACTGTAAGGCTGACTCGTCCAGGAATTCCACTGATATGATTCAGAAGATTCTGCTTTTCTCTATGGTAAATAGCCACACAATCATCTTGAACAGCCTTCAAGCTTACCATATTGAACTGAGGTTGCAGTGTTCGAACAAAACTAATGAATCCTTGTTGTTCCACAATGTGAAGTGGATACTCATGCATAATTATCATCTTAGCAATCTCATGGTTGCAGCGTTCCTGATCAAAAGAAATTTTCGCATATCCAGAATTTGCTCTGGGGCGTCGTTTTGGTGCATCAGTAGCACCAGTCTTGGAGCTTGGCGTAAAGGGAGTCATCTGATTTTTTTGACGACTTACTGGGCAGATACCCAGGGCAATATGTCGTTTTAGATGGCTTGTGCCTGCCAGCTTTGAACCAGTGATGTAAGCAAAATATTTCTTGCACTGCTTACAGCAAGCCCTAGTATTTCCAACCCCAATAGTTTCAATTGTGAAGTGCTCCCAGACAATAGACTTCTTTCTCCTGCGCTTGTTTGGCTGGGTTTCTGAACTAGGTATGCCATTATTATCAGTTGGGGTCAGAGGAGTATTCATCTTCCAGTAAGCAGGTCCAGTCCTAAAACAGGTCGACATGACCAATAAGTGAATTACAAGATTTCACAAAAAAATATGAAAAAAAAAAAAAAACAGTTGATCTAGCAGTAAAGGAAAAACAGACAAATTCAGCATCGGAAAACTTAAATTAAGAAAAGAAAAATAAATTTCACAACAGGCACATGTAAGAGGGGTTGGGGACAAACGGCTAAAGCCATATTTCACCTCTTATGACCTGGTAAGCAACTTGGTTATTCCTTCTCACTCACAATCCCAGTCTCATAATCCTAAACATTACACATTATTAAAACTTAAACATTTTCATCTAAAAGCCCAAATTTCCTACTTTTAGATCATGCTAAGTTCCTAATACTAGTCTGATTATGTCAACTATTTTGCCACCATTTTGTTTTAAGCAGCAGACATGGCGAGTTTCAGTAACCAATATGTGCAACACTGAGAGTATTCACAGTGAAGGATTGGTCAGTAGAACTATGCATGAAAATGAATCCACAAGAGCACTTCCCAACAATACAATAGGATTATCCTTTCATCCCACAGCAATGAATTTTCATGAGCATAACTCAACAAAGAAAGAAACTTTTTTTTTGGTTATTACATTAAGCTACATCAACAATCAACCCTGAAGTACAGCAACAATCAACCCTGAAGTACAGCAGAACAAATCCAACATAAATCGTATGTTTCATCTGCATGCTTACAATAAAACCAAAAAGTAAATACGTGCCAACTAAATACAGACCAAGGATTTTACCTACATGAACCAAACTACATACAGATGATTTAATTGGAAGTCAGAAAATAGCATATTCTAATAGTATCAGATAAACCCTATTAAGACTCAACTGAAAAATGCAAAATGCATCACAAAAAGCAGAATAACAAACGACGTAGAAACAGTTCTTGAAACAATAAACATCACCGAAAATATTACAATTGTCATATTTTTTTTTACAAGTCACAAAACTTCTCCATCCTATAAAAAGTTAAAAACCCAGCCCTGCTGCACATGAATTGTACCTAATGCAGCAAGTACAATCTGCTTTATGCTGAAAGCAATTGTACCTTGAAATGTTCAAATAATATTATCACTAAAAACAGATTAAAAAGAGCAATCCGAGGTTACTTTTGAAGTTCACGACTGACAGTAATAAAAATAAAAAATAAAAATAAACCCTAATTAAAGAAATTAACAGATAATTGGGTCAGCAGCAACCAAAACTATAAGCTTTAACCCTAAAATCACAATTACCCGTAAACACATACAATAAAAACACAATTACCCGTAAACACATACAATAAAAACACAATTACCCGTAAACGCATAGATTACGCACAGATATACACACATACACACATACATACGCACATACACACATACGCGCACATACAGATACAGCCAAAGAAACTGAACAATGACAAAACCCTAAAAAAATTTAAATCCAAAATTTCAAAGAATGCTAAAGAAATTGAACAAACCCAGAAAGATCAACAGTCCAGAGGCATCTAATAAATCAGAAAATCAACAAATTCAAGATCCAAAATTTCAAAAAAACCGAAGGAAAAAAAAAAAAAAAAACCTTACCCTAAATCGCAGCCCCGAAGACGAAGAACCGGCCTCTGCGACACGAAATTTGGAAATTGTTTACTTTCGGGCAAAGAAAAAAAATAAAAATTTTGAAAATTCGAAGGTTGAAGACGGAGTTGATGGGCTTGAGGTTGAACGTACAGAGCTTTTTGGGGATAAACCCTAATGGACCTAAACCTCGAGAATTAGGGTTCGGCCTGTGAGGATTTTAGGCTTTTTTGGGGGGGTGTTTTTATGAAAGCGAAGCGAGAAGGAATTATTAATTTAAGTTGCGGCCTTCGGGTCCAATTTATAAAGGGTGCTGCCTCCCCTTGGCTTCTTGCCCACTCTTTTCTATACTTCAATATTTTACCAATAAAATAAATACTTTAATATTTTTACTTTTTTTTTTTTAAAGCAATTAATATTTTTACTTTTTAGCATGTAAACTTGCTTATACTTTCTAAATCACTGATCCTAAATGTTGAATTAAGCACATAAGAGCAGCTCCACCGGAGCTTTTTTTGCCCAGCACCAAGTCCAAATAACAGCCCGGCATGCTCCATATGTGCTCCAGCCCGCCAACTTGCCTGGCACCCAGCCCGTGCCAGTCAAGAGCCCAGCCCAAAATGGACAGACTCATTCCCCGGTCTGTTTCTGGCGCGTGCACAACACGCGGGGGGCGCGGCGCGTAGCCGACAGCTTTGCAGGCGCTGGGGCCCGCGTGCAGACCCACTTGCAGTCGTCCGGGTGAAGGAAACGTGGCCTCCTCAGAGCCGTTGGATTTCCAACGGCTAGTTTTTTAGGCCGTTGGATTTCCAACGGTAAAAAATATTTAAATTTAAATTTTAAATTGGACCGTCCGATCACAGATCAACGGTCCACGTTTATTTCACCAAAAATTAAAAAAAAAAAAAAAAAAAAAAGGCCCAACGGTCAGAAATTTGACCGTTGGCCACGTGGCGTAATGAGTGCTGTTGGATTTGATTATTTTTCAAATCCAACGGTCCCGATTAATTACAACATTAAAATTTATTAAAAATTAATTAAAAAATGTCAAAAATTTTTAAAAAAATACAGAAAAATTTTAAAAAATTAATTTTTTTTTTCTATAAATACCTAACCCTCATCTTCCACCTTACACCACATTTCAATATTTTTTACACTTTCTACATTTGAATATTTTGTACACTTTGAGAGAAAAAAATGACTTCGTGGAAGCTCAGTGAAGATGTTACGTTGTGTGAATATTGGGTTTGCACTACTCATGACCCGATTACGGGTAATGAGATGGATAAGCGAGAAATGTGGAGTAAAATTACGAAATCGTTCAACGATGTACATGGAAAAGATGCCAGATCTAGTCAAGGTCTTCAAGGTCGTTGGAAAAAACTCAACGCATCCTTTACTTGTTGGAAAAACGCCCTCTCTCATGCTTCTGGTAATTTGCGTAGTGGGACAAGTTTAGCGGATGAGGTAACAATATTTTTATTTATTTATGTGCATTCCACCCACATCAATATTTTAATTTATTTAATTTCTTATATGTAATTTTTATGTAATATGCATTCCAAATACTTATGTAATTTTTATATAATTTTTATGCATTCCACAATTCTTATTTAATTTCTTATGTAATTTTTATGTAATATGCATTCCAAATACTTATGTAATTTTTATGTAATTTTTATATAATTTTTATGCATTCCACAATTCTTATGCAATTTTTATAGACACTACAAGCACAAGCATTCTACAATGCAAAGAACCATAACAAATCATTCAACAAATGGGAATGTTGGCAAATTGTCAAAGATTGCCCTAGATACAAAATTGTGGCAACCGGTCTAGAAGTTGTCATGCACGGTATGGGTCTACACAGTTCGCCAGAAGCAGACACAGCCGAACAAGAAGCCAACACATTTGAAGACACGGAAGGGATGCCTGAACAAGTGCCAGAGACCCAACTGACTCGTCAGTCCCTCAGGCCTCAAGGTAAAAAGGCATCAAAGAAAAAAGGTAGTTCTTCCAAAAATGATTACACTAAATATATGGAGGAACTTACTCGTCAAGGTGAAATGAACATGGCATGGGAAAAGGCTAGAGATGAGGAAAAAGCTGCTGCTGTGGCAGCAATTATTGCAGCTACTGAGGCTCGTGATGCGGCGTCTGAGAGATAAAGAGAAATAGTTAATCGAGAGAACGAGATGATTAGAGAAGCACTTCATCGAGAGAATGAGATGCTTAGAGAAGAAAGGATGGCTCAAACAGATCGTGACACTATGAACAAGTCTCTAGTAGGACTGTCTCCGAATTCAAAATATTTTTGGACATCAGAAAAAAGAGATGTCGTGCGAATGAGGCGTGCAAGAGATGCCGAAACAAGTCAAGGGGGTTCCAGCTACAGAAATCCTAGCAACCAAGATCCTAGCACCACATATCCTAACTCCACAGACTTTATTTAATTTCTTATGTAATTTCTTATCTATTTTTAGAACTTTATTTAATTTCTTATGTAATTTCTTATTTATTTTTAGAACTTTATTTAATTTCTTATTTATTTTTAGAACTTTATTTAATTTAAAATTAAAATTACATAACCTCACCATTTAAACTTAAAAAAAAACCATTTAAACTTAAAACACCAAATAAAATTACATAAAACACCATTTAAACTTAAAACACCATTTAAACTTAAAATTACATAACCTCACCATTTAAACTTTAAAAAAAAAAAAAGCAAACACACTAAATAAGATTACTTAAAAAACAATACACTTTATTCTTCAACCACAAGCCTTATTTTAATTATCTTCGCCTTCGTGCAAGCTCCACTGATGCTCAATCAAGTCATTCTGGCGGGCTATGTGCCAGTATGGCTCTTGCAATGAAGTGTATCGTTGAACGATCAATTCATTGTAACGTCCATCCCGTTCCAACGGCTCGTGTTGCACGGGATCTTCGGTCCGGTCATAAGCATAGTAGATTTGTGTTCTTGAGTTGTTCATCGGATCCGGCTCGTATTCATCGACGGCATCATAATCATACTCGTCTTCAACAATCATGTTGTGGAGAATAATACACGTCATCATGATGGATCGAAGAGCCTCGACATCAAACATTCTAGTTGCAGCCCTGACAATGGCCCAACGAGCTTGCAGGATACCAAAACAACGCTCGACATCCTTCCTACACCCTTCTTGACACTTTGCGAAGTGTTTCCCTTTTTCACTCTGCGGGTGTGGCACTGTTTTGACAAATGTTGACCACCTTGGGTAAATACCATCTGCAAGGTAGTATGGTCCCTCGTATTTAGTACCATTAACCCAATATGTGCATCTCGGCCCACGCCCTTGTAGCAGTTCGTCAAACACTGGAGATTGGGCAAGGACATTTAGGTCATTCTGAGCTCCTGGAACACCAAAAAAAGCATGCCAAATCCATGTATCAAAAGAAGCCACCGCTTCCAGAATGATGCTTTTGGCTCCTTTTCTGTCGCCATAAGCTCCTTGCCACGCACTTGGACAGTTTTTCCATGTCCAGTGCATGCAGTCGATGCTTCCAATCATGCCAGGGAAGCCTCGCATCTCAGCCTTCCTCAGAAGCCTTCGCATGTCCATTGGCGTGGGTTGCCGAAGGTACTCATTGGTGTAGAGGGCTTCAATTGCAGAGCAAAACCGCATCAGGGACTCCAGAACTGTTGTTTTTTCCATCCTTGCGATCTCATCCACTTGATCTGCAGATGCTCCATATGCAAGCATTCGCAAGGCAGCCGTAATTTTTTGCTCAGGAAGAAGACCTAGAACATGAAAAGCATCCTCTTTTTGCACAAAATATGGATCATGGTTGCAAACATCACTCATGATTTTAGCGAACAAACTTCGTTGCATTCTAAAACGACGTCTAAAAACATGATCAGGGTAAACGCTGTTGGGAATAAAATAATCTTCCAAGAGATCTTTACCTCGTCTTTCCCTTCTTCTATCGATGTTTGCCGCACGTCCGGGTTTGGCTATCTGACCCATAGCTTGCATGATACGGCGGGAATGTGAGGCCCTCCGCCTTCTATGGTGATCATCGTCATCCTCCTCCATTGCGAAGGCCTCATCTCCACCTCCACCTTGGTCAAGATTGACCAATTCTTCCTGTTGTGCCAACAACCTTTTCTGCTGCTCTTGCAACTGTTTATACGCTCTCCTTGAAGAAGACATTGTAAGAACTCAAGATTTGAAAATGATAAAGAAGAATTCTGAGCTAAAAAAAAGGATTGAGTTTAGTGTGAGGATGGATGTAGGGATGTAGGGTTTATATGGACAAAAAAAAAAAGATGAGGTTCAGGACAATGCCACGTGGCACTACGTGATTGGTTGAAAATCTTAGCGGAAATCTATTCAAAAAATAGTACGTTCGGATAATGACACGTGGCGTGATGAGATTGGTTAAAAATCTTATCGAAATCTTGCCTAAATTATTGTAAACAGGAAGTGACACGTGGGTTGTCGGGATTGGTTGAAAATCTTAGCGGAAATCTATTCAAAAAATAGTACGTTCGGATAATGACACGTGGCGTGACGAGATTGGTTAAAAATCCTATCCGAAATTAAAACTATTTTTTTTTATTATTTTATAAAAAAATTATTTAATATTTTAAATGGACTGGGTGCCAGCGCATTTTGTAGGGGTGAAGATCGTTTGTGCCAGCGCATTTTTAGACTAGGTGCCAGCACATTTTTTTTTGGGGTGGAGATGCTTTGGCCTATTACTGTTCATTGAGTTTGTTACTGTTCAATTAAGTGGATAAATGGGCTGGGTGCTGGCGCAAAGTGGATAGGGGTGGAGTTGCTCTAAGAGCAACTCCGTCCCACTACAGGAATAATTGCCTATTAATTAGGGGAAAATTTGTGTGGAACTCGGCATGCTACTAAACTTTGCTGAGTGACACTCCAAACCACTCAAAAGTTACCATGTGGTAAATTTTAAATAAAATTTTTCATTATTTTTTATATTTAAATTACATGTAATTATTTTTCCTATTAATTAATATACATCATGAGATTGAATGAATAATTTATTCATTTTTTTCTATTTCTCCTCCCTCTCTTTTTTCTTCCCGGACTCTCTCCGGTATGTAGCCTTCTCCCCAAACCATCTTTCCCTTCTTCATATCCAACTATTATGAAATGAAAAATAAAATTCCGGCAAATTTCTTTTTGTTTTTTTGAAAAAAGTTGTATGTTCTTTTTTTTTTTTAATTATGAGCAATATTTCGTTGAAATTTGTTATATATTAGAGAAGTTGTAATTGTTTGTTTCTTGAAT